ATAAATAATATATATACATTATATATATATATATATATATATATACATGTATAAATTCGTATACATATATAATATATATAGATATATATATAAAGATATAGATATAGATATATATATATAGATATAGATATATATATTCATATATATATATATATATATATGCATATGAGCATATGATCACCTATTTATCTTATATTTTGTCATAGGATTTTATATATATATATATACATATATATATATATATATATATATGCATACGTGCACTTATGTATTCTATATTTTGCGTAGGATTTTTATTTATTTATAATTCCTCAAATCGTTTGCGCAAAGAAAGCTGGTGATTGACTTAGGTTACAGTTTGAAGGAGTGTGAGTCTGAGTGAGACTGAAACCGAGACGAGACTGAAAATTGAGTGTGCGTGAATGTGGATGTGAATATGAATATGAATATGAATGTGAATGTGAAGGTTAAGGTTAAGGTGACTGTGACTGTGACAGTGAATGTTATTGTGAATGTGAATGTGAGCGCGAGTGTGAATGTGAATGTGAGCGTGAGTGTGAATGTGAGTGTAAATGTGAGTGTGAGTGTGAGTATGAGAGAGAGAGAGAGAGAGAGTGTGTGTGTGTGTGTGGTGGGAGTGAGTGAGTGAGCGAGTGAGAGCGTGTTAGTGTGTGTATTTTGTGGTGATATGGCTATTAGGCGGTTCCAAGTCGATTTTTGTTTCTGCAATCCCCTGCCTGCTTCTTTTGCTGATTTGGCTCTATACTCTACTAAAATTATACTACTGAATTTGGTATAGGCCCGAAATTAACGTTCTGGTTTTGGAACCTAAACTCAATTTTCAGGTTTGTCTTGAAAAATTGATCTGGTTTGGTATGAACTGACTTGGAGAATGGTATAAACAGAGTATAGGCGCCTGCCTCCTACTTTTTTTGGGGGAGATGTTAGCAGAAACGAAATTCGATTTGGAACCGCCTTAGGGCGTGTATTGTTTAATACTGTCCGTACCCGTTGAGAAATATTATACTATTTACATTGTGCTTTTAGTCTGAATATGAACAAAAAAATTACCCTTATGAGTACTCGTTTTTAGTCTCCACGGCTTCCCAGCCGGGATTTATAAGGAGTCGTGACCCAAACATTGGGGACCCGTGAGGCCGTGACACCGTGTACTCTCAGTGAGAGAGTGAGAGTAGTAGAGAGCAGTCAGCAGCCTGACGAGAAAACAGGATAAGTGGATTATAGCCTTACATCAGAGTTCCGAGTTCAGACTTCAGAGCCTTGTTGACGGGAGCTATTTACTACTTCATATTTATTTAGTAGGAAAGTCAAAGTAGATACTAGATACTAGTAGAGAGTCTAGAGTGGAGTAGACAGTGGACACAAGAGTAATTAGGACAAAAGACAGGAGTCTGTCCAACTGGCAACTGTGTCTCTCTGAGTCTCTCTACTACTCCTTTTTTATTAAAAATAGTACTTTTTATTAAAATAGTAATACATAGAGAGAGTGAGAAGGTAAATATTTTAGTATGTAGTCTAAAATATTTAGGCGGTTCGGATCACGGCTGTGCTACTTTGTTTTAGGGTTTATCCCAAAATACAGGGGCCAGGGGGGGGGGGGGGAAATAACACAAATTACAATATCGACATTGAACCCTAGTTTTGCCCTAGTTTGTGGTACATTCCCAAATCCTTCGATTGTTGTAATTGAAAAATAATATTGTTTGATATTTACAAAGTGTTTGGGACTGTAGTACATATAGATCTACTAGAGTGCTCGATTTTTTTTATTATCGTATACGACATCAGATATTTCAGGTCGACATACACGATATAGTGGGTCAATATGTATTATATTAACAAAATTTGAAAGTTCAAAATCACAAAAAAACCAAAAATCCAGGGGGGACCCTAAAACAATGTATTTAGCACATCCAAACCGCCTTTCTATTTTATTTAAAAAAAAGGGTACAGTAATATTTTTTTTAAACCAAGAAAAACAAATGCTTTTCGCTTGTGAGTGTGACTGTGCTCGTGGGTAAGTCCTGTGTGCTGTGGGACTGTAGGAGTGTAGGCTGTATCAGTGAAGGCTGAGAGGCTGTATCAGTGTAGGCTGAGAGGATGTATGATATTTCATACCTTGTGAGCGGAACATAGATACATATATGAATATTCATATTCAGCTCAATCTCAGCCGGTTGATATCTACTATAAGCACGTGCCACGAATACATAGTTCAGTACATCAACAGTAAATGATAGGATGGCAGCATTTTTAATATTAGGTGCCGTGTTTGTCGCTAAGCAGGTATGTGTTTGCCCACGTAAGTATACGCACTCAAAAACTACAGATTTTGAGCCGATAAACATTTACATGTAGCGCACAACAAGCTATATGCCGAACGCGGGTAAATTTTCCAAGGCTTAAAAGTTTAAAATCATCTGAATGAGTACCTACTGTATGTATAAACTTGGTGGCATCTATGTGCCGTTATTGGTCAAATTCGCATTATTAGTAAGTGTGCCGTGTGTATTTGCACATCCTTGCTTGTCTAAATTTGTAGTTTTAGTTGCTGGTAGTATGTACGCACTCGAAAATATACTTATACTGATTGTAATTTTAATAGCCGGCGTGCTTTCGATA